GTTTATTATGAAAAAGGCATTACCGGTGGTAATGCAGCCGTTAACGTATCTAATTAATTTATCTTTTAGCACTGGTGTATTTCCAGAAAGATTAAAATTGGGTAAAGTCGTTCCCATTTTTATGAAAAACGATCCCCAATTTGTTCAAAATTATAGGCCAATAACCATAACGTCATGTTTCTCTAAATCCTTTGAGTATGCGTTCTTGCATAGACTGTTACCCTTTGTCAATAAGCAAACTTTATTTTCCCCTAGTCAGCGTGGATTTATCTGTGGTAAATCTACAAATACCGCTATCTTGTCACTTTTGGAAACTATCATTCATTGTGTTGAATCTGACGAGGGTCCCGTTGGTATCTTTTGTGACATTAGTCGGGCATTCGACTGTGTTCAGCATAATATTTTAATTAACAAGCTATTGGCATATGGTATTAGAGGCGTCGCACTTGATTGGGTGCAATCTTTCTTGAGTAATAGACCTCAGTATGTTTGTGTTAATCATATTGATGATATAAAAAAAGATAATATTGATTCTAATATTTTAATTAATAACATGGGAGTTCCACAGGGATCTGTGCTGGGGCCTATCCTTTTTCTTTTTTATAGTAACGACATTGACTCGGCTTCACCTGTTGCCGCTGTTGTTCGTTATGCTAACGACACAGCGTTTCTGTTTTCATCTCCATGTTCTGAAAATTTAAATATAATGTGTCAGAGCTCTCTGAACGAATTGTTGGCTTGGTTTGAAACTCACTGTCTTTTCTTAAACAGTTCTAAAACAAAGGCCATTAGATTCCATAATAGGCAAAATAACTGCCCGAAAATTGATGTTATTTTAAAAGACTCTATAATTTCTTCTAATTCAAGAAATATAAAGTTTCTGGGTGTTACGATTGATGAAAATTTGAATTGGAAAGAACATTGTTTCAACTTAATTGCTAAATTAAATTCAGTTAGTTATATGTTCAGGAGACTTAAAATGGTACTTACCAGCCATCAGTTAATTAGTTTATATTATGCACAGGTGGAGTCGAGATTGAGATATGGAATTTTATTTTGGGGTACGTCCACTTTGTCAAGTGATGTTTTTGTTGTTCAGAAGCGTATTCTGAGGTTGATTGCAAATATACATTTCCTGGATTCATGTAGAGATGTTTTTAAAAAATATAAAATTTTAACTTTGTGCAGTCTTTTTATTGTTGAGTCTGCTGTTTATGTTTTCATGAATAAGCAGAAGTTCTCTTTAAATTCTGAAATCCACCATTACAACACAAGGAATTGCAATAAATTCCGTTTACCCTTTTGTAAATATAACATTTCTCGCAAATCGCCGAATTGTCTGGCTATTAAAATTTACAATCATTTACCTTCTGAAATAACAGACTCACTTACACAGGGNTACAGATTCATTCCTCACGGGCGAAAATGTTAGTAAATTCAACAGGGCTCTTATATGCGTATGACATAAAGTGAGAACTTAATCAAAGAACAACGTAATCATGACAAAACAAGTTAAAAGTGAAACAAAGGAGTTGTTATTGCAAAATCTGGGCAGTCACGACAATATATACATGTATGTATGTATGTATGTATATCTCATGGAAAAAAAAAGAGGTGTTTATCGCACGATTGATACTCGGATTTAAGCGAATTCTAGTCATTTTCACCCCATTTGTTATGGTTAAAACGTATATATGCGCAGGTGAAAAATATACAGTGGATATAATTGCCCAAGAGTATAATGCCTGCCAGTTAAGGGAAAGACTAAAAATGTTTTCTTCCTGCAGAGTTCTAGATTGCACCGTGTTCGAAATAAATGATAACATGTCTAGGTAATTATTGTTAAATGTGCCAAAACATCAAATTAATTTCTAAATTAATAATTCAAGTAATTAATCAATAAAATTAAATAATATTTTTCTTCAATTCTGTTTGAAACTTGGAAGAAACCACATATTTTCATTAATTTTGAACACCCTGTGTACCGAAAACCAAGCGTTTACGGTCACATGTTCATAGCAACTTTTTTTTTTTTAAATTTGTGATGTATCAAAATATCTACATAATTAAAGAAGAATTCCTGCAGATATCAGCATTCTTCCTTCTTGTGTCATTAAAATTTAATTTTAAACCAAACTAGTAACATTGTCAGTTACTGTGAATCGCAATAAGTTTTAAAGTAAATATAAACTCAATTATCTGACTTCGATAATCGGGATCTCTCCATTTCTGAGGGCAATGATGTGGAGTCGGCAAATGATGATCTCTCAATCACAGAAGCATGCACATAGAAACCAATTCTATAGCAAATCATTTTCTAAATCTGTGGTCATACAAACTTCCACAAATCTCTGGATTTTGCGATCGTTCATGTTTGTTGACCGACACAAAACTATAGTTCTGGCTGCATCATTAATAATTCGGTTGCACCTAAATAGCCTATTAACTTAATTTGAATATTACATAGAATGAAAAATATTGATTATAAATTGCCTTTTTGTATGTTTTAATAACAAAGTGTCTTAAATATGTATTATATCATTATTTTATTCGGATAGGCGTCGATTCCACCAAATCTGGGTAATAGAGTTTAGAATCAGAAAAATTACTCTTAAAAAACTTTTGTCTGTCTATACATACAGGGTGATTCAGAACTTATCCAAAAAAAATGCTGGATGTACAAGGGACTCTTACAAATACAATTTTATAAAGAAAAAATCTAAAAGGGCAGTTTGAAAATGATTTAAAAATACACATCTGCACGGCACTGGAAACTGGCCCACTGTAAAACCTGACCTGCATAATGCGACTGGCATGGCGGTGTGATAAAAACGAACAAAAACTTTAGAAAGGAATAAAATAAATAGAATTTTATAGCACCTATTTTATATCAACAGATCCAACTGCTTTTGCTTTTATTAATTAATAAAATTAATTTGTGTTTTTAAATAATAAAATCATTTGACATACCCAATGTTACAACAACAATTGTTCAAAATTTTATCAACCAACATGTAAACACATTTGGGTCCGTCTTACTAAGTTTATATGAACTACGACAAATTTTGTCTTGCTTCACCATAACACAAATGCTTGACCATAATACAAATGTTGTCTTGATTCACCATAAATTAAAATGATATCCATCAACTCCGAATTGCTATACACGCAAACCATTTTTGACACTAACTACGAAAAAACTATTGTAAACACCACAGATAACAGGTAAACAGTATCGCAACGACGACTGCAAAATGGATTTTAGTATCCGGAGTCTCTGAGGTCACGTGTCTCTCCACTTGTATTGCAAATGACGCTAGAGACTACAGTTGTCCAGCTATGTAGTGGTTGAATGTACTATAACTTCAATAATCAATTCATTTTAATAATGTTTTTCTCGGAAACTATAAGGATTTTACAAAAAATTTTTTTATGATATTGACACCCAGTGACGGTTTTACCATAAGAGCTGCGGAGCTGCAGAACACATAAAATTTTATGTATTTAATCATATTAAATATCAACAAAGTATTTGAAGAATCCAAATGTACTAAAATAAATCTAGGAGCTTATATTATTATTTATTGCAACGCGAGCTACGCTCCTTAATATATGCAACCTCATATACAAAATGTGTGGACAGCGAACAATTAGATGCATCCTTTGTTTTTATTGGCTAATCAGGCACGTGACCCAGTACACGAAGATAGGGGCTTTTGCGGCTGCAATAGCGACAGCCACTGCGCTGCAGTAAATGCAGTAATATTTCGTACGTAGTATGTGGTGGTTTATTTCTGCGAGCGGCATGTGTGAATATTTTCGTTTAGGCGCCTACGGATATTATAGTTATTAAAATGAATAGCGTTTCGTTTAAAAAAAAACTTTATTTGGTTCTCTGCCATATGAGGATAAACTAAAAATAAAAGTAAAAGTTATAAAAAAACAATAATGTATACACAAAAGCAGAGTGGGTGTGCGGATGTGATTTAAAAAATTCACTGTTTTGTTTTCCGTGCTTACTTTTTGGTGGGGATAAAGCATGGACAATATACAGTGTGAAAGATTTAAGTCATTAAGTCTTTAGGTAAAATAAACATAAGAAGTCAGTTAGATTCCGCATATTGGGATAATATACGGAAACACAATGAACAGGTAATGAAAAATCTTTATTTTTTATTATCTAAAATCATAGATTGCATAAAATTTTGCGGAGCTTGCGAATTAGCACTTCGCGGACACGACGAGACAGAAAATTGGGACAACCCTGATGTGTTTCGTGGACTCATAAATTTTAGTGCAGATCTTGACGACATATTAAAAGAACATCTGGCCACATGGGTATGACCGGGATTTTCTGTGATTGTACCGGGAATTAGCTGTATGGTCCCGGATTTCGGATTTGCACGTATAACTCCCGGAATATAATATAATGTACATATATATAAAAAAAGCCGAGGAAAATTAAAATTCCTTGAATCGTTGGTAAATTTCACAAACAATTTTTTTGTTTATAAACAATATTCAATAATTTAATAAAATATATTTAGTTTATTCCAATTTATTTATACCATCAGTAGGTAATTCGTAAATAGATATTTGAAAAAGGTATCAATTTCAAAAATCATTCTTGTGAAAATCTGTATTTTTTAAATAAATTCATTGTTCCTTGAAATTCAGAAGTGCCAGGAAAACGCGTGACCTTGAAAATTTTAAAATTTTTCGCCTGCGGCGCCATTTTTAGAGACTCCGGGCACTTAATATCCCGGAATTCGATTCAACAAATGTAACAACCCTAAGCAGAACACATTCAATCAATGTTCACGCGCCGCCACTGTTGACACCGTTTCTCATACCGCATCTATTCCCAAATTTTTTAGGATAAGTTGTGAATCACCCTGTATAGCAGAATTAACGTAAATGATGTTACTACTTGAGAAGTTTCTTGAATAATTATAAAAAATATTTTTAAAAACTTATTCCATACTTATTATTATTATTAGGAAAGGAACTTCTAATCTATTCTATGGAGGAAAAATTGTTGGTGAATCTGCAATGAAGTATCTAGAGGATATTGGAGCAAGGGTCACTCACAAATATCAAATAGACAACAATGGGCAATGGGATTTGCCAGATATTAAAGTTACTGTAAGATGGCCAATACAAGTTTCTCCAGGCCCTGACGCAGGAAGCAGACCAGGGAAATGGTTGTTATACTTAGAAAGTGTCCCAGTAATTAGTGGTAAATACTATAAAGTGTAAAGAGAACTATGTGATTTTAATTAGTGATCTGTTTTAGGTCCTGGTGTCACTGGGTATTGTGAAGTTCTTGACCGATCTAAGGTCAACGAATTAAATCTAACTTTAGCTAAACAAATTGATGAATCAGATAATTTAACACGACATGATTCCCTCACGGAAACCAATAAAAGTGCAACAGTCCATTCTAGGCGGAAACGGGATGTAAACTATGTTGTACCCACTCAAATCACAGAACGTGGTGGAAAAAAACGTAAAATTGTTGTTATGGTAAGTCATAATGAAAATATTTGATAATTTTTAATTCTCATTAAGACTTTATTAGGTCACATTATACATTTACTTGTAACCACGTTTAGGGTTGCCACCTTCTGATATTCCTAGGTAAGGACTTCACCTTATCAACAGGAAGGACAAATAAATTGATGTATTTTTTTTATTATTTGCTTTAAGCAATTTTTACTATGGAATTGTAATTTATATTTCGTATTTGATTTTTTGGCAATCAACAAGTTTTTGTAATTATTTACAGTTCATATAAATTTTGGCAACTTTTCTTAAAATCGAATTTGAATTTTTTGTTTTTCCCTGCTCTGTATCTGGGATTTTCCTGTGAGCAGTTGTAATGCTAAATAAATAAATAAATAAATAAATAAATAAATAAATAAAGTTCTTATCATAAAAACCCTGGCAGATGGTTTGTTTGTCTGTTTTTTAGTCAGTTTTATCATTTTTTTAGCATTTCATACACGAGCGTAAACAGAGTAAAAACACAATGCGGATAGCGATGTCACCCATTTGGAAGGAAGATAAAATAAAGCCCATGAACATACTGTCATACCACCCACACCGTTAAAAAAAAAAGCATCCAAAAACTGCCCGAAGACAGGCATATATAACCTGTTCCAGGAGCCACAGTTGTTCTTAATCACTACACTATGGTATATGTTTATGTTCTAAACTAACAATAATTAAATAGAAAAATAAAAATTAAAACAGTCAAAAAAACAAAAAAAAGTGATCACCTCCACATCGTTTGATTTGGGCAACGCAAAATGTGAGCAGAGATGTATAATAACATTTTTTTAAAACAGTAACAGGGGGGCGAAATACTGGTGTGTAGATTTTGGATAAGTAGATATACAAAACGCACTTTCCCCTGCTTGAAGGGTGATTTCAGTGCGTCATTGGAGAAGATCAAGGTAGCGTGACATTATGTTTGTGGGGATCTATCATCTTCAGAAGCGATGGAGGAGAACCGATCAGTGGAACAAATCAGAGACGTATGTAACGCCATTTGGGGGTTGATTCTTTGCCATTGAGAGGGAGGGGGTGTATTGGTGTGCGGATGGTGTGACAAAATGTTCATGGGTTTTATCTCCCTTAAAAATGGGTGATAAAGTAGATGTGGCCTGTGAAATAGGTTAAATGTATATGCATTTAATCCTTGTATGAAGGATTTTATATAGGGTATGGTATGAATTCCTTCTGTTTGACGTTTCTACGCGATTGCAAATACACTGGAACCTTTATAATCCGGCTGTTTATTACACTGGCATGTCCAGTAATTCGTCATTATTTTTTCCACATTTGTCTACTATCTTTGAAAAATACAGTTTATACAGTTATAGTTCAGTTTATTTAGTTTTAAATTATTTTACAGAAAAATAAAAACATTACAATATACATATATATGCACACACAAATGTATATGTATGTACATATGTACCAATCAGTTGTTAATAAAAAATTAAAAGTAATGTTTTTTAATTTAAGACTGTTACATTATACATATTCCATTAATTCGAATTTTCCAGTACTGCACTCTTAAGTTTTTAATTGTGCCGGATTAGTGCGATTTTATACTGTACATACATAAAGTGAAAATTGGTTATAACGACATGCTTTATACGACAATTAAATCCTATGGAAACACCATATTAAAAATATCATTTACTACGACACCGTTTACAACGACATCTCAGATTTAGCAACGCGTTTTTATACACATTTACCATAGAATCTATCGGTTACAACGACTAATGGTGGTATATGGCTTTTGACACCAGTTAGTACCAGTAGACAAATTACTACTTCTCTATGCATACAGTTATATTATATGTATTAATTACCACTTTCTATCATGATGTCAAAAAGAACAATGTTTAATAATGAAAAAAATCACGTACATATAATATGGAGGCTAGAAAATGGAGAAGCTAATGCAAGCATAGCAAAAAAAAATGTGACGTGTCACACTACGATTTCAACAATTTGGAAGGATAGAATTAAAATAAAGTCTAAATAAAATATATGTAATTGCTTATTACATCTATCGGTTATAACAACCATAAACAAATGGTCCCTTGAAGGTCGTTATAACCAATTTTCACTGTATTATCTTACTTTTTGTTTTTTTTTTTTGTCTTTTTTATATTTAGTCTTAGTCGTTCCCAAGATATAACAAATTAAAGATCACTCTTTTATTAACCTTATGATTTTTAACAAATGTGCATTTTTCAAACAATTTTTTTCAAATTGGTATTTTGGAAAAAAAATCAATAAATAATTGTAAACAAGTGTAAGGACACTAAAGCTATGGTTTTTAAGACATTATGCTGGTGTTTATTATGTTTTAGGCAAACAATAAATATTTTTATTTTTAGAAACAACAGAATGTCTTTTTTTAATGTTTGGTGTTTCGACCACAATGATATTCAAAAAATATGATGACTCGTTGCTAAGTTATAGATACATCCATTGTAACTTTACTTACTCAATATATGTTGATTTTAAAACAACTAGCAATGCTGAGAGTGCAGTAAATACAATTTCTTGATGCCCCAGCTTACCTTGCCCAGTGGCGGCATATGCAAGAATTAGGTTGAAAAGCTAATTAAAACTGAACTGTTTGTTAAAAAAAAAAAGAATTCCCTATTCGTATTCAAGGGAGCATGTTCTATTACCCCTAAAAAACTGATCCCTCAACCCCCCTCGCCCTTAAATTTACACCCTGTATATGTTGATTTCATCAGAGTCTCATTCCTGATATCACCACTTGCACGTATGTGCACTATCATGAAATACCTATTTGATAGAGTTAATTCAGTTCTGTTCTTGTTGCTCTATAAGATTCAGCTACAAGTTCCTGTATTTTAAACTTTAATATGTTTCATAATGTAAGTATCTGTATTAATTACAAAATTATTTATGTTTTTCTAGGATTGCGATGACGGTACAGCGAAATGTGTAGAAATAATGTGCTCAATTAAAGATCTCAGAAAAGATAATACAGCTTATGTGGATATTAAAAGTCGCATATGGAATTCAACACTAGTAGAAGACTATAGCAAAGTAGACTGGGTTACAATAAGATCTAAAATAGAAATTGAAATTACCGATAAAACATTCAATATCAGTGGTAAATCAGTCCCACAGTCATCTGTAAGTATATTTGAGTAAAATTTTAGATTTATTTAGTATACAGGGTGTTTTCTAAGTTTATGTCATAGCTTCCGTAAAATGTTCGAGGTACAGTGGCTTTATAAAGGACAGTGGCGACAATGTTGTGGCATCATTTTGATTGTGTCATTTAGCAGCGAGTGTGCAATTTTTTTCGAAAACCTCTTGGTTTTTAATATAATATAATTTTTTAAAGTGTATGTTTAGTTAAATTAATAAAAAGCAACAAAGAGGACAAAATTGGGAACTAATTAGTGCTAGTAGTATTTCATCTTCATCTTCATCTAGTGGTTGGTCCTTTAAAAAGTCCCATAGCACTGCGGCCTAATTAGGCCTATTGTGTGTTCCACTGTTAGTCCTATTCAGCAAGTAGATTTGTCCTTTTTACAAAGTCCAAAAGCTTTCTTGCTGACACTTCTCTCAATTCCTTGGGTTCCAAATAGGGTCTCCCAAGGAGCGTCATTCTGCTACGTGCAAATCCCGGGCACTCGCCCAGGATATGCAGAGAAGTTTCATCCGCTGATTCACATCCTCGGCAGACTGGACTGTCTACAAGCTTTAGCTTATGTAGATGTTTCCTAAAGTGACAGTGTCCCGTTATGAGTCCTGTCACTCTCCTGAGCCGGATTCTATTCAAGCTCAGTAGCTCATTCGCTCTTCCCTTCGAAGGATACTCCATGAGCTCCTTAGAATGGCTATGTCCTGACCTTGAAGTCCAGTATTTCCTATGATCTGTCTCTGTCCATTTGCCCAGGGCCCGCCTGACCACACTGGGAGATGTGCCACAGAAGGGTTCCGGGCCAATGAACACTGTCTCGGATCCCTTCCTAGCAAGTTCATCCGCTTTCTCATTTCCACAAATGCCTTTGTGCCCTGGCACCCAACACAGTCTGACTGTATTGTTGGTGGCCAGTTCAGTCAGCATTTGTAAACAGTCCCACACCAGTTTTGAACTTACCTTGTGTGCGGCTAAAGCTTTAATTGCAGCTTGACTATCAGAGAATATATATATGAGTTTACGTCTGTAACCTCTACGTACATTCTCTGCCAGACACGCCATTATCGCAAAGATTTCTGCTTGGAATACAGTAGGGAACTCCCCCAGACTGTAGCTTGCACTCCATCTGGGTCTGAGTCCATATATTCCTGCACCCGTCCCTCTGGTCATTTTGGAGCCATCTGTAAACCATACTAGGCTCTACCTTTCCAGGGTATTAAACCTTTCCTCCCACTTGCTTTGATCCTCTATTCGAGTCTCAAATGGCTTGTGGAAGTGAAACCTTGGGACCATCTTGTCGGATACCATCCCAAGAGTTGGTTCCGACATAGATGTGTCTATGATCCTGGAGTGGGAATCACCCCTCCAGTCATTGTTATTCCTGAGTCGATATGCTGCTAGCCGCGCTTCTCTTTCCACCACTATATGCAGCGGTAGCAGATTTAGCATGACTTCTAGTGCAGCTGTCGGGGTCGATGCCATCGCCCCCGTTATACCTAAACAGGCCAATCTCTGAATTCTATTCAGTTTTTCCCTCGCTGTGGTCTGTTGTGTTTTCTGTCACCATACCACAGCACCGTAAAGAATCCTGGGTCTTACTATCGACGTATACAACCAGTGTGACATCTTTGGTTTCAGTCCCCAGGTTTTCCCAATAAGGCGACGGCATACACACAATGTCTGCTTTGCCTTACTCACCACTTTTTCTAAGTGTGCATTCCAGGTAAGCTTACTATCCAGTATCACTCCTAGATATTTTACTTCCCTGGAAAGTGTAATGCCCCTCTCCCTTATTATAGGTTCAGAGAGTCTAGTAGTATTTAGTAAACACTTGCATATGCTGCTTATATTCTAACACAGGGTGTTTCAGAATGAACACTATTACAAAAATGTTTAAATATTTAAATCAGATTTTAGTATTCGGAATCGCCTGGGGCCATGTGGAAAGAGAGCGAATTGTGCAACCTCAATAATTTTTTTCTCGGAAATTATAAGGATTTTACAAAATCTTTTTTACGATATTAACTCCATTTTTCATGACACATCTATTCCTAATTTTTTTTTGGATAAGCTGTGAATCGCCCTGTATAAATCTTTAATCCATAGGCAGCTTGTTAGTGTTATTTTTAAGGGATACAAATAAATGTGTTAACTACATGGTTATAAATTTGACACTTATTTCTGGGACACCCCGTATTTTTTTATGGAAAATTTTCGACAACAGTAGTGATTTTTCCAGATTAGAAAGTTATTTGTGACCTTTACTCTGAATATTCACTGGACTTAGAATAATGCCAGAACTTGATATTAAGGTTTTTTTACATTAAAGTTGTTCATTTGAGAAATAGACACTACTATCCTTTATAAAGCCTGGGTGTTGAAACTAAAAAAAATATATAGTATATATTTATTCAAAAAATATCTCTGAAGATATTTGATTTAAATTGATCACTTAGTGTACAAATTTGACAATCAGTGCTGTTATAGGCGTCCCTAAAAAAAATTTCTGCTAAAGGTAAAAATTATTATAATTAGTAAATAATGTGTAGAAAATTTCTGTTACATGTTCATTTGGCCAACAACATATTTTAATTATTTGTGTCCTCAAACAATTTTATTATATTGGTGGTAAATTTCGTTTTGTTCCATTTCAAAAGGTCTCCAAAATTCTATGTTGTGATAATATCAGTAAACAAAATATCCCTCTTATTTCTCCCTTTTGCAATTGTAATATGAATGATTGATAGAAGGTGCCTATAATAAATTAAAATTACCTGAATCACACCAAATTCCGCATTGCTGCACTGCACTGCTGGGCATTTTATCAACCACTTGTCATCTGCTATGATTTATTGCCCAGTAGCCCAAATGCAACTGTGATCGTTTTCCTTTGCCCGCGCTTGCATTCTTCAACTAAGCGTATACATTTCTATCGCCTCCACTTTTAGTTCGACCAGACCTGTATATGGGTATGGCTAAATAAATATGGGAACAAGTTTTTCAAATATTTCAATACCTGGTACATACTATCAGTGGCGGCTTTACCATAAGAGCTGCGGAGCTGCAGAACACATAAAATTTTATGTATTTAATCATATTAAATATCAACAAAATATTTAAAGAATCCAAATGTACTTGCTCTAAAATAAATCTAGGAGCTTATATTATTATTTATTGCGACGCGAGCTACGCTCCTTAATATATGCAACCTCATATACAAAATATGTGGACAGCAAACAGTTAGATGTGTCCTTTGTTTTTATTAGCTAATCAGGCACATGACCCAGTACACGAAGATAGGGGCTTTTGCGGCTGCATAGCGACAGCCACTGTGCTGCAGTAAATGCAGTAATATTTCGTACGTGGTATGTGGTGGTTTATTTATGCGAGCGGCACGTGTGAATATTTTTGTTTAGGCGTCTATGGATATTATAGTTATTAAAATGAATAGTGTTTCGTTTAAAAAAAAACTTGATTTGGTTCTCTGCCTTATGAGGATAAACTAAAAATAAAAGAAGTAAAAGTTATAAAAAAACAATAATGTATACACAAAAGCAGGGTGGGCGTGCGGGTGTGATTTAAAAAATTCACTGTTTTGTTTTCCGTGCTTACTTTTCGGTGGGAATAAAGCATGGACAATATACAGTGTGAAAGATTTAAGTCATTAAGTCTTTAGGTAAAATAAACATAAGAAGTCGGTTAGATTCCGCATATTGGGATAATATATGGAAACACAATGAACAGGTTATGAAAAATCGTTATGTATTATCTAAAATCATAGATTGCATAAAATTTTGCGGAGCTTTCGAATTAGCACTTTGCGGACACGACGAGACAGAAAATTCGGACAACCCTGATGTGTTTTGTGGACTCATAAAATTAATAAATAATTAATATTAAAAGAACATCTAGCCACATAGGTATGACCGGGATTTTCTGTGATTGTACCGGGAATTAGCTGTATGGTCCCGGATTTCGGATTTGCACGTATAACTCCCGGAATATAATATAATGTACATATATTATAAAAAAAGATAAAGAAAAAATCATAACACGCCGAGGAAAATTAAAATTCGTTGAATCGTTGGTAAATTTCACAAACGATTTTTTTGTTTATAAACAATATTCAATAATTTAATAAAATATATTTAGTTTATTCCAATTTATTTATACCATCAGTAGGTAATTCGTAAATAGATATTTCAAAAAGGTATCAATTTGAAAAATCATTTCTGTGAAAATCTATATTTTTTTATAAATTCATTGTTCCTTGAAATTCAGAAGGGCCAGGAAAACGCGTGACCTTGAAAATTTTAAAATTTTTCGCCTGCGGCGCCATTTAGAGACTCCGGGCACTTAATGTCCCGAAATTCAATTCAACAAATGTAACAACCCTAAGCAGAACACATTCAATCAATGTTCACGCGCCGCCACTGCATACTATCAATCTTTTGGTTCTTCAATTGATATCGGAGAAACTATACTTAGGGCTACAGAATATTTAATCAAGTTTAACAAAAATCTTTAAATACACAATTTTTTACCACTTTTTTAATCAAGTTTCTTACATTAAAAAAAATATCTAAAAACAGTAAGAATGTTTTATAGAGGATACGTTGAAGTTTTCAAAACCCTGCTTAGATATTCTGTATGATCATTAGTTCCCGAGTAATTACAGAGGTCGCTCTGTAAGTCTTGTCGTTCGGCACAATATCAAAAGCTGAAAGGTTTATTTTTATATTTATATATAGTACATACGTGCATATTCATGTTTACATGTCAAACAGTTTGAAAGAGAAATATTTGAATTAGAGGACGATCCGCGTCCATGCTGGCTGTGCGAAGTGACTACATCCGAAACAATAGCCGCTATTCAAAAACTATTTTTTGAAGACCGCCGAATCACATATAACAGATCCAGGAAACCCTTAACATTTCTGCATAGACCATAGATACAATTTTAAATGAACATCTGGAAATATGCAAAGTTTGTACACTTTTTGTACCACACAAATTAACTGACTAGAAAAGGGAGCGTCGTGTGAAATTGTGCAAAATGATGCTCACACAGTTCAAATCCGAACGATCTTCTAAGGTATTCAATTGTTACAAGAGACGAAACTTGGCTTTATTATGATGTACCAACAAAATCACAAAGTCGCGTATGGGTGTTTAAAGGTGGACTATGCCTAAGCGGTCACGTTCAGTCAAGAACAAAATGATCTTGGATTTTTTGGTTGTCGCGGCATAATCAAAACCATTCCTTTAGATACCCAATGTACTGTTACTACAGATTGGTATGTTGAATCGTGTTTGCTCCTGCTTTTCGCCACGCTTCAAGCATTGAGACCAAAATCCCCCTCCTTACAGTCCCGATCTAGCACCCTGTGACTTCACACTCTTCCCGTACATGAAAAATCAATGAAAAGGACGCAAGTTTTCTTCAGACGATGAGATTTTAGCTGCCTGGGATGAATGTTGCGCTTCCATCTCAAAAGAGAAATTAAATCACTGGTTTGATAGCTGATTTGAGCGTATGCGTAAGTGTGTAACATGTGACAGTATATAATTCAAAAAACAGTAACATTTTATAGTGGAACGACAAGACTTACAGAGCGTCCTACATAATTATCAAAGCTAAAAAGGTCATTTTTCCTTTGAACAACGATAACTTGTCGACAAACCATCGTACAAAGCTCTTGAACAGCTAAAATTAAAAAGTATGAATCAAGTTAAAAGAGCAAACAGGTGATATTGCCAACAAAAATTTATTGAAACTCGTAAACCTTTTGAAGGGTAGCAAAAATCTTGAAAACTTTTTACTTTCTCATCCTGAAATTAGAAACTTCAAGTTTCAATTTTTTTTATAGCTCTACAATCATTTTTCGCTAAGTTACAGCCTTTTAAAAAATCACCTAAAGGTTTAGGACTTTTTTTATCCTTTACTTTTTGTGACTAGTTTATTTACATTAATGGAAATTAATCTCAGGTAAAAGTTAATTTAAAATTTTATTTTTAGATTGAAACGACAGCATATCCAGAAATAGTCTTAACAGAGGGTGTCAACTGGTGGATAATTGGAGGAGCAATTTTAGCTGGTCTTCTGTTGCTCATCCTCCTTATAGTGATACTATATAAATGTGGGTTCTTTAAAAGGAAACGAGTTAGTAACGATCCTACACTCTCCGGTAATTTACAGAAGAAAGGTGAATCCGAGACTTTACTTGCAAATAAATAGAAATATTTATTTTTGTTTTGAATCAAAATGTGATAGAGGTGTTATTTATTTATTAGTTCAATATTTCGCACTAATGCTGAACATATTTTTAAGTACTTAATTTTTAAATTGTTATACTATGTAGGTGCAGACTGTTTCAAGATCGGTTGCAAATAACGGTGAACGTTTGATATACAAGTCAATCAAGCAGTTTAAAAATCATCCCAAAAAGCATCATATAAATCATTCGATTTATTAACTATAGTGGAAGAAATGTTATTGGAAACTTTATCTTTGATTTTTTTTACCTGCAGGCAGCTAATTTCTAAAGGCCTTTAGAAATTTACTATACAAATTGACTTATTGTCATTCATTTATTATACAGAGTGTCTCACTTAATTTTAGCGATGTTAACAAACTAAGCTATGTCTTGTTGAACAATTTTCATTTCGTATGAATATCAATAAAGTTATTGACAAATAATGTCTTTTCCGCATTTGTATTAAAATGGTTGTGCTGGTATTATAATCATATGAGTAAATAAATGAGAGGATTTTATTGGACAGGGCGGACAGAGCATGCATTCACTGAGGCCATCTCGTGTTGGTGCAGCAAAACATTGTCCTTTATAGAAATTATTAAACAGAAATCTGCAACCACAGATCGAATCTGTAGCCTTTTTTCGCAACTGAATATTGGTGAACATCTGACTTGTAGTTACTTTTTCTATCTCTCTTGATCTTAGTTGTCATATCTTAGTTTAAATCCCTTCATTCACTCACACTACACATACTACAACATACTCGCGAAAAAAAGCCTTGTTTGTATTTCCAATCTTTCAATCAACAGAAAATACAGAAACAGAATGTTTGAGGTTATAAGTATTTTATGTTCAGGTAGGTTCCCGCTTTTTGTGCATTAATAAATTGGTTTTGTTTTAGATTAATGTAATAAGGGATTTATTGAATCAATCATCTAAACTGCCTTACTGTTTTTTTTTTCGTTTTTTATCCAAAATGAGTACCTGGTAGAACTAAACGTCAATGTTGTGTTCCAAATTGCAAAAACATTTCCGACTATATGAATATCTGTAATACGTGATAGAATCAGTTTGAAAATTATATAGATCAGAATTTACTCCGACAAACACATCATTATTTTTATGAAGACCATTTTGAGTTAAAATGTTTAAAAAACAGTAATAGGATAGGAAGTGCTTTTGAGGATCAACTACAAGTTCACCTATTAATTATAATAATATCACCTTGGAATCCTCGGATAGTATCCAACATTCAGCAAAACAATTTGTTAACGTAACATTACAGAATTTTCAGAGTACGAGCTGCCAAACTTCAATTTAGGATGATTTCTCACCTCCACCTTTCAAAAAACGGAAATGCACATATTTAAAATTGTTATTTGCTATAAGTGCTATAAGTGTAGTACATTACATCGCACTGATGAGAACCAATAATTAGTTCGAAACAAATGTATCTAACCATAATTTTTGTCAAGTAACCGTACAATGCATTTTATATAAAGGCAGGTAAATAATTTTTTCAAATTCTTTAAAAGTCTCCCTGTACGTTTTTTTTTTCATACTTAAATATTCATAACGTAATGAGTTTGTATATTTGTCACACATTTAAATATCACTGCTTTAACTTTTTCATTTAACCAAGTGTTTCATAAGTAATGGGTCATGGAACAGTCGTTAATGGTTCACGTTAATTTCAATTATTAAATAAACTATTAGTAGCTGTTTTGTGATGTATTACTTATGAAATACTTTTTATTCTTAGTATATTTCGTTACATTTAAATTTACCGCCATTATGGTACAGTGACATCTATTAGATAGTAGAATTAGAGGTTACTCTAATTGTGTTTTCGAATGCAGTTTCCTTAATTATTTTATGGTCTGTGGTTTACGAGTGTGTTGTTTGCTGCACCATGTACAGATGGCGGTACTCTGCCGCTGCTGCCGACAGAAGACACGGAATAAAACGCTCTTATTTAGTTACTCATATTGGTATGTGTCGAAAAATTAAAATTATTTTTAAAACTTGTTAATATGAAACGAAAAATCTGCTACTATCTGCTAATGTAATTTAAAATCATAGAAAATTACCTTTTGTAAAAATTGTACATGTTCAAAACACCAAGTGTGATTTATTAAAAAACTATTCATTTTCCAAGTCCAAATTGTCATTCCAATTTCCATTAGTTTTGATCTCTTAGGTCATAAAATAAAGTATGAGTATGATTTAATCACAAACCTAAAACAAAAATCGACTGCATGCTACTAAACAGGGTATAGCAAAAGTACCGGAACGGCGGGAGAACATTTTAGAGAAAAATGTATAATACAAAAGTTTCAGGATTTCTCCTTGGCTATCCGATGGGGACCTTGACATTGACCTTGACCTTGACCTTGAAGATCATTTCAAGGTCAAATGTGATTTTTCAAATGGGACCCTATACTTTTGCCCTCAGAAATGAAAAGAGTGAAAAGTTTTACATTCAGATATGGCCTTGAGTGGACCTATACAAAAGTATAGGAAAGCAGAATAACTCGGCGGGAGAGCATTTTAGAGAAAAATGTTAAATACAACTCAGACTGCGCAGGTGCCAGTACCCTTCGAAGGACTGTCCTTCATCTGGGTGAAAACTATCATCAGAGACTGGGTCAACCAGGAGCACATGAATTGGTGGTGGGGATCCAGTAGTTGTAGTCAGTCTAATTGTAAGATGTTAGGACCCATACCAAACAAGGAGTGGATTTTCTCTTTTCATTTTTAAGGTAAAAAGTATAGGGTCGCATTTGAAAAATCACATTTGACCTTGAAATGATCTTCAAGATGAAGGTCAATGTCAAGGTCACCATCGGATAGCCAGGGAGAAACAATGAAACTTTTGTATTTAACATTTTTCTCTAAAATGCTCTCTTGTCGAGTTATTCTGCCATTGCTGTACTTTTGTTAGTTTGACCTTGGGGCCCAAGGTCAAAAGGGAGAACTCAAGGTCATATCTGAATGTAAAATTTTCCGCTATTTTCATTTCTGAGGTCAAAAGTATAGGATCCCATTTGAAAAATCACATTTGACCTTGAACTGATCTTCAAGGTCAATGTCAAGGTCACCATCGGATCGCCAAGGAGAAATCCTGAAACTTTTGTATTTAACATTTTTCTCTAAAATGCTCTCCCGCCGAGTTATTCTNCACAAACCTAAAACAAAAATCGACTGCATGCTACTAAACAGGGTATAGCAAAAGTACCAGAACGACGGGAGAACATTTTAGAGAAAAATGTATAATACAAAAGTTCCAGGATTTCTCCTTGGCTATCCGATGGGGACCTTGACATTGACCTTGGCCTTGACCTTGAAGATCATTTCAAGGGCAAATGTGATTTTTCAAATGGGACCCTATACTTTTGACCTCAGAAATGAAAAGAGCGAAAAGTTTTACGTTCAGATATGACCTTGAGTGACTCCTCCCTTTTGACCTTGGGGCCCCCACAAGGTCAAACTAACAAAAGTATAAGAACGCAGAATAACTCGGCGGGAGAGCATTTTAGAGAAAAATGTTAAATACAACTCAGACTGCGCAGGGGCCAGTACCCTTCGAAGGACTGCCCTTCATCTGGGTGAAAACCATTATCAGAGACTGGGGCAACCAGGAGCACATGAACTGGTGGTGGGGAACCAGTAGCTGTAGTCAGTCTAATTGTAAGGAGATGTTAGGACCCATACCAAACAAGAAGTGGATTTTCTCTTTTCATTTTTAAGGTAAAAAGTATAGAGTCGCATTTGAAAAATCACATTTGACCTTTATATGATCTTCAAGGTGAAGGTCAATGTCAAGGTCACCATCGGATAGCCAGGGAGAAACCCTGACACTTTTGTATTTAACATTTTTCTCTAAAATGCTCTCTTGCCGAGTTATTCTGCCATTCCTGTACTCTTGTTAGCTTGACTTTTCTGCTATTTTCATTTCTGAGGTCAAAAATATAGGATCCCATTAGAAAAATCACATTTGACCTTGAAATGATCTTGAAGATCAATGTCAAGGTCACCATCGGATCGCCAAGGAGAAATCCTGAAACTTTTGTATTTAACATTTTTCTCTAAAATGTTCTCCCGTCGTTCTGGTACTTTTGCTATACCCTGTATACAGCCATTGACTTAAAATTCATGGTCATCCTAGAAGATCTACATTCTCTGCGACTTTCTTTTTCTGCTGGTTTATATTAGTTTATTCTTAAATCTAGATTGTGCCATCAAAAATGAAATTGTATATTAAAACTCACATTTTTTTAAATTCCAAAGGATCGGAAATTTACAGTTTCTAAATTGTCCCGTTACCGCAATTCTCATTTTGCTCCAATAATTGTCACTTTGTTTTGGTGTTTTCAAATATTCTGTACATTTACCATTACCAGAATTTTTTAAATATTTTGCTGCTATTTCATCAAAAGACTATTAAAATTATATTTTTGTATGCTAGAAAAATGTATTGAATAACCAGTTTTGTATTTTAAATTCGGTAACAAGAATTTGACCCAATATGGCAGTTGATTGTTTTATCAATCCCGAGCAGGGTTCCCCAACCTTTTTACACCTAAAAGTACATTCTAGAATGCTGGTCGGGCGGCGGGCACCATTTATTTTTTCAAGGTTTTATAGTGTTAATAATACAGATAATATACAAAAACATATTTCATTTCAAAAATATAATTTTAACATATAAAATTATTATTTACATATTATATTTTAATGTAAAATAAATTGGCAATGTTTACGAATATTGGCAGTGAATAGTTCATGTTTTTTTACAATGCCATGTGGATCTTTTCTGTCAAAATAAGTGTTTAACCAAAAATCAAAATGGACTTTTTCACGTTTCCCAAAAATAAAAACATATTATATCGAAAGATATACAGTAAAAATATATTAAAAACAAAAACTAAACAGTAATAAGGGTTTCAAAACACAAACGTAAAAGCACATGGTAAAGAAATAGAAGTGAAACCCTGCTAACTATTTCAGTTCAAAAATATTGCTATAGGCAGACCAAAATTAACGAACATCTCCAATAATTGTCATACAATTTTTTTCTGATTGTACACTGCAGCGGTTTATTGAAAACTTAAATATATTTTTTAATTGATCGCACAGTGGCGGGCACATGTAAAACGGTCTGCCGGCGCCATGGTGCCCACGGGCATAGGATTGGGGACCCTTGATCTAGAGACTATATTTGACATTTTTCTTTATATTTGTGGATTTAACTAAATCTAATTACAGTGCTAAAGTATGAAACATTTGACTGGTTCTTGCTAAGAGATTGTGTGCATGTGCGGGAATATTATTTAAATACAATCCAAATTTTAGGCAACCATGATTTTGCAATTGATTTTGAGACAAACATAATCCATGCAAAACTGCCGTTATTATAAAATAGAAGTTATATGAAGTATTGAAAATAGATTAGATTGCATTTTGTACATATTTGTGTATATACTTGTCTACTGTAAATACAAATTTTACATTAAAAATTTTAAATAAATGCCTCGATTTTTTATATGAAAATATTTTAGATTGTGCTTCAATAAAAATGTTTTTATTTTCGTACAGTGTTTCTGTTTTCCCAAATTGATTATTAAGCTTCCTACTTTATTAAGTAAAAGGAATAATATTCAACCCTTAAGGGTGGTCAAAAGAAATTACTATTAAGTATAGAAGAATTGTTTACTTTCAAATACTGCTTTGACCGAAAAAAGCAGGTTTAATTTTCTTAAGACCCTACACTATTATTAGACATCGGAAACTTTGTGCGACTATCAAATAAAAGTAGTATTCTACAATATTCCAGTAAGCGGCAATACGCGTTGTAGTAGCTGAAATATGCTAATTCTATGGTCAAGGCGTGTGCCGCTCTATGCTCACGATACATAATGCTACTGACTGCTATAAAAACATGTGTCATTGACTGGCATACACTCGACCAAGCAAAGCATCAAACTCATGCACGCACAAACGACAACGAAATGCATGGCCAACGTCCCTCAGAAAAAAACATGGATTGTTCACACATACGCCAGGCTGATGGGGCAGGCATTAAGAAATCGTATTGAATAAATTGATCAATGCAAAGCTTCAAATCAGAAGCAGACATGTACATGTTATTGTACAATAACGCTGATAGTGGGATTACTAAAATGTGAAGTAGTTTATGCTTTGCCACTATTATTATTTTATTAATTTTTGGCGATACTTATTATGTACTATACCTATATACTTTATGGTAATAGTTCCATGTGAAGTATTTGGTGTAGAAAAATAGACACTGCACCTTTTTGTTTCGTACTATCATGCAAATACTTACATATTCTGATAATGTAATAAGAAGGTAACTGTTGTGTCACTTTTATTTGAATAAAATTACATAAAAGAGAACCCGGCCTACAGTCAACCTTAAGTCACATTGCAGCTGTCCTAACATTTCCGATTTTCATATTATGTATTATAGTAATTAGTCAAGGTAAATTAGTACAAACCGAAGGAAGGTGTGTATAAAAATATTACTGTTTTAACTACTAATGTTAGATAGTTGATTTTAAAAGTGTTTCACAAAAATTTCAATGTCAATTCGAAACCTGAAGAAATATGCGAAATGTAAAGAACATACATCAGTGACTACTGGGGGAATGATTTGTAGGTACACAAAACTTAAATAGGGGTCACGTTCTCTTAGATCTGGAAATGTCTCCTTCCATATATTTGTAATTTTTTTTCATTATCTACTGATAAGATACAGAAAGCTTTCTTATTTTCACAAAATTTGTATTTTTCTTAAAGCATATGAAGTTTGTAAAAGTAATGTATTATTATTATAGTATAACTATGAAAAAAATTAATTTTGTGAAAAATAAAAAAACCGAATTTATAAAAAAAAGAAGCAGGTGTGCAGCTCTTTTCAGGATCTCTGAGCAAGGGGCCACAATTTATCTTTTTATTTTGCAAATTTTGAATTTTTTCAACATGAAAATTTTCTACACGGACCTAGAACCCTATCAAAATATGACTTTAATTATGCCCACACTTTCATGTAAGTTCAGATATACATATGTATAAAAATAAAAATAATTTAAAATTATGTAAATGCAGGTTAATAATATAAAGCAAATATGAGCCATATTTAGCTAAAAAAATCATTTGCTAGAGGACGCTAGTATCCTTGAAAAAATCGTGTATTTGTAAATTTATCAAAATTTACTTCATTTGGTGAAACAAACAAACGTATATGAAATGAAACTATTTTGATAAAACAAATTTGACGAGAATCTCACAACATTATTCTCTCCTTACATTCTTGCAAAAAAGAAAAATTATCTCATAATTACTCTACTACTATACACATACAGCAACATACGATTTCAGTCACTAAAAAATTTAATATTGTAGGTATTTGTAATCGAATTTATACCTATATTTTTGTAAAAAAACGTAGTAGTAATAGTTTTACCTTGTTATAATTATAGACACGCAGCGTAAATAATAAAATAAAAAATTTTCCCATTTATAAATGTTATTTTTCTTACACGTATACAGGGTGTCCCGAAATTCATGCAACAAAATCTGGTCATAGGTTCTTAAGACAAATTTAAGAGACCCGTATTTTTTCTTCTTGCCAACTGGCCCCCTCTTTCGGAGTAACAGCCCCCTGAAATCTGCCCCTAAGATGTCTTTTTTATATCTCAAAACCATGTCCGAGAATCACTAAATTTGGTACACAGGGTTTTTTTGACATGTGGAATCTCATAGTGCTACGCTTTGACGAGAAATCTCCTTAGGACACTTTTTTTTGGTCCCCCTTGTCTCTGGAACCAGAATTTTTTTTTTTAATTATTAGCTATAGAAAGCCATTGAATTTAGAAACTTTTTTGCCTCTGGATATTTGTTTCATAAAACACAATGTTTTTGAGGAAATAAATGGTGAATCACGATATGCATTCGATCACATTTTGACATTTTTCTCGAAAACATTGCGTTTTACGGAAAAAGTATAAAGAGACAAAAAGTTTCTAAATTTAATGGCTTTCTAGTAAACTGATATTTTTTAAGAAATTTAAATATG